TGCCCAGTGTGAAGGGACGCAGGTGATGGAGATTTACGCTGATTACAGAACCGGCTTTACTGGTAAGATGCGCGTTAAATATCGCATGCGATTAATCGTGCAGCCCTAATTTTTAATTACATTTTTAATTTTATTAATTTTCAGTATTTCCACTTTTTGTTTGTATTTAATATTTATATTAATATTTTATCTTGTGTTATTACCTGTCAGCAGCGGTCCGATGAGCACTAGTTATTTTTTAATTAAATTTGACATTTTATTAATTTTCAGTATTTCCACTTTTTGTTTGTATTTAATATTAATATTAATATTTTATCTTGTGTTATTACCTGCCAGCGGCGGTCCGATGAGCACTAGATATTTTTTAATTAAATTTTTAATTTTATTAATTTTCAGTATTTCTACTTTTTGTTTGTATTTAATATTTATACTCATATTTTATCAGTGTTATTACCTGCCAGCGGCGGTCCGATGAGCACCGGACAGCACTCCACGATAGTGGTGAGCCCCACGGCGCTGGAGAACCGCTGCGCTCCCACCAGGTCCATCAGCGTCTCGAACAGGACGGCGCTCACCATGCCGAAGGCGAAGCCGAAGAAGACGGCGTACACCACCATCCCGGTGTAGCTCTCCACCAGCGGACACAGCAGGTGACACACGCCGTTATACAGCACGGCGAAGCTGAAGAAGTACTGGATCCGCGGCCGGACCCAGCGCGAGTTCGCCAGCAGGCCCATAGACGGCCGAGCGAACATGTCCACAAAAGCCAGGATGGAGAGCAGGAAGGCCGCTTGATACTCGTCCACGCCGTTGTCTTTAGCGTACGACGAGAGGAAGACGATCGGCGCGAAGAAGCCCAAGAACATGATGACGTTTCCCGACAGGTAGATGAGGAAGCCGCGGTGCTTGAAGAGCGACAGATCCAGATACTTATTGACCGTCTGCCAGGCCGTGGTCTTCTCCGTCTTAACCATCGGCGGTTTCTCCTCCAGCACTTTGGCGGGGTCCGGCGGGGCCACCAGGGGCCTCATGAGTGATCCGGCCACGCAGCAGTTGAGCAGGAGCCCACCGAGGATCAGGAAGCTTCCCCTCCATCCGTACTCATTGATCAGATACTGGTTAAGCGGCGCTAGCGTGCTGAGGAACACCGGACTGCCGGCCATAGCGAAGCCGTTAGCGATGGGACGCTTCTTGTAGAAGTACTTCCCGATCATCGTAAGCGCCGGCTGGAGGTTGAAGGCCAGACCGAAGCCTGTGAGAGGAAACGAGATGGCAGAGGGCATTGTGGGATACCGGCTGACTCCGGGTACGTTCATCCATTCGTGTGGGGTGTAAAATTGATGAGTGATCCGGCCACGCAGCTGTTGAGCAGGAGCCCACCGAGGATCAGGAAGCTTCCCCTCCATCCGTACTCATTGATCAGATACTGGTTAAGCGGCGCTAGCGTGCTGAGGAACACCGGACTGCCGGCCATAGCGAAGCCGTTAGCGATGGGACGCTTCTTGTAGAAGTACTTCCCGATCATCGTAAGCGCCGGCTGGAGGTTGAAGGCCAGACCGAAGCCTGTGAGAGGAAACGAGATGGCAGAGGGCATTGTGGGATACCGGCTGACTCCGGGTACGTTCATCCATTCGTGTGGGGTGTAAAATTGACCCACATTGAACACTGTAGAATCACGTTCTTATATAAAACCTTAATTGTAGCTTGTCAGAGATATATGTGACCCTGGAGCACAAAACCAGTCATAAGGGTCAATTTTATGAAATTGAGATTTGTACACCATCTGAAAGCTGAATAAATAATCTTTCCATTGATGTATGGTTTGTTAGGATCGGACAATAT